ATTCAACTGTAGGAAATTTGCCCTCATCCAGGACTTGATGTCCGACAGACAGTCTGTCAGGACAGCAGTGGTCCTGGAGTTGAGGGTGGAGGCAGAAAGATAGAGTTGGGTGTCATCCGCATACATATGGAAGTTGACCCCATGTCTGTGGATGATGTCACCAAGGGGGAGCATGTAGATATTAAAGAGGAGAGGGCCAAGGACAGAGCCCTGGGGGACCCCAGACGTGACAGTGCGGGGGCTGGAGGAGAAACCGTTAGAGGCAACGAAATGGAGATGGTGAGAGGGTTAGGAGTCAAACCAGGCAAGGGCAGGTCCGTGAAGATTGAGTAAAGCGGAGAGGCAGCTGTATGATGATGGAGTGGTCGACAATGTTAAATGTGGCAGAGGGGTCGAGGAGGACAAGGAGACAGACGGAGCCCTGATCACAGATGTTCAGAATGTCATTAATGACTTTGACCAGAGCTGTTTCCGTGCTGTGGGCAGCACTGAAGCCGGATTTGAGGGGTTCAAAGAGGAAATGGCGAGAGAGAAAGGAGCGGAGTTGGGACGCGACGACTCATTCCAGGACCTTGGAGAGGAATGGGAGGTGAGAGATGGGGCGGTAGCTGGAGAGGAGGGATGGATCCAGGGAAGGTTTTTTCAGGATGGGGGTGATGACGCCTGTTTTTAGGGGGGTGGGAACTGAACCGGTGGACAGGGAGAGGTTGATGACATCGGACAGGAAGGGGGCCAGAAGGTGGAGCTGGGAGATGAGGAGAGAGGTGGGGATGGGATCGAGGAAGCAGGTGGTGGGTTTGAGTTTGCGGACAGTCGTGGTGAGGGAGGAGGGAGATATAGGATCGAAGGAGTATAGAGGGGGATGGGTAGGGGGTGGGTCATGAGAGAAAGGTGATGTGGGGGTGGCTGTGGATGAGGCTGAGGTGGCTGAACCTATCCCCTCGATTTTAGATTCGGGGAACTCCAGCATCTCCTCACAGTTGGAGTTTGAGGAGAGGATGGGCGAGGTATGGGAAGGTGGACGGAGGAGACGGTTAGTGGTGGAAAAGAGAAGGCGGGGGTTGTCCTTTGCCTCCAAGATAACCTTGGAGTAGAAGGAGGATTTGGCGAAGGCAAGAGTACAGTGGTAGATCTTGGTGTGGTGAAGCCAAATCTGCCGTTGGACCGTTAGTTTGGATTTGGTCCAGGCTCGTTCGGCAGCTCGACTTTGTGCCTTGAGGGAATGGAGATGGCTGGTGTACCAGGCTGGTGTCTAAATACAGTTAAACACGTGTACTCAATACAATTTAGTACCTCTAAATACAATTATCATCATTCTTCCACATGTTTCAGTTGTTGGTCAGTGCACTGTAGAATATAAACATATGACTAACAAGCCTTTGGGAACACCTTGTACTCTAATCCCATTCCCCTGCTCCTATGCTTTAATATTGTTTATCTTCAAGTGTTTATCTGATTCTCTTTAAATGCTGTTACAGATTACTTTTTTCCTGGTAATAATTCTCAATTTTAATCCCTTTTATTACCTACTCACCACTCATTAAAAATAGTCTGTCCCTATCAAAACTATTCATAATATTGAAAATCTTTATTAGATCTGCTCTTAACCGTCTCCTTTCCATTGAAAACACTCCCACATTTTCAAATATCTTCATATAGCTACATCCCTGGTACCATTTTTGTATATGGGTGACTTACAGTAATTGAGCAATACAGAGAAGAGGAAAGGGGAAGCACAGAAATCTGTTGATGTCAGGCAGATTATCTGCAACACCTTCTAATGGAATGAGCTGAATAATTTTACATAGTACGATGTCAAATGTTAAATAGATCCTCTCTCTTTTGTTCCCTGCAAGTCATCAATGGACTACCTCACATGAGAGTAACTACACTGAGGTGAAACTATCAACGGTTTACCAGTAATCCTTCAGGTTGGGCATATAATTGTAGAACTTGTTATTTATTGGCACTGGAAACAAGAACTAGAAGTTGTTTTCTAAGAGCTGCATATACATTTCACAAAGAGATTTGTACAAAAAGAATAGTTCACTGGTAAATGATGTATAGCTGACTACACTGTGGGGATGCATTGCTGCTGTGCTTAACGTTTTGTCTTTAGCAGCAGGGGTGCTAATGGGTGGCTCTGATGGGAAGTAAATTATACAGATCAGAGTACTTTGCCACCATCGCCTGAACTGGACTTAGTTTCAAGCCTCTAACCATGTGTACTGTCTGTCTGTTAAATACATGTCAGGTAGTACACTTAAATAAAAATTATCCTTCCATTCTATATAACGCCTTTATTGTCAGAAGGATGTCTCAGAAGCGCTTCATAGGATTTTCTATAAAGTTTGGTGACTGTATTTCGCTCCTTCCTCTACCGTCACTCCCTCTCTGTCTCCACACTCAACTCCAGGACCACAAGATGAGGCTCTCGACAAGGAGGGGATGAGGGGTGAGCCAGTGGTGACGCCAGGGGATGTTGCGGAGGTGGGGGAAGGCAGAACGGATCTTGGGGTAGAAAGGACATTTAAGGGCCAAGGCTCATTGAGGTAGGTGTTGGATCCATGGATATTGATGCTGTCAGTGCCTGAAAGGCGCTATTCAAACGCAATTTGTTGTTGCTGTATTTCATTGGCGAGCACATTCAATTTATGCACATCAATGTCCCACAAGCAGCTTTAAAGTGAAGGATCAATTTTATGTGGGTGATTGTTGGCCAGGATGCTGAGAGAAATTCACTTCTCTTTTCAAATCGTGCTATGGGATCTTTAAAGCCAATCTGAATAGGCTGAAGAGACTGGGTTTAATGCCTCATTTGAGGAACGGTACCTCTCACAATGCAATGCCCTCCAGTGTTGCATTGGTGTGTCAGCCCAGACTGGGACAGGAGAGATGGGGCATGGGGGGGGGTAGCCAAATATCATCAAAGAGAGGAAGTAGCCTGAGTAGGGTTGCAGGAGATTGCTAAGGTAGGGTGGGACAAAGCCATGGAAACATTCAAGTGTAAGAACAAGAATCTTGAGGTTGATTCACTGGGGGAACAGTGAGCCAGTGGAGCTGATGGCAGTTGAGGTGATAGATGCATGGTGTCTGGTGTGGGAGAGCATGTGTCCTCTAAAGTTCTGGATGGTATGGAGCTTGTGAAGTGTGGAACTGGAGAAGCCACTGAGGACTTTAGAAAATCTGGAGGTGATAAAATGCATTGATGAGGGTTTCAGCTGCATAAGCAAATAGATAGTGGTGGAGGCAGGTGATGTTGCAGAGATGGAGGAAAGCCCAGATGAAAGATTCAAAGGAGAGTTGATGGTCAAAAAAAATGCCATGGTTCCACACCAGCCCCATGAGTTGGAGTAACAGAGAGGTTGATATGGTCAGGGTCAGCGCCTGAAGTGAGGAGGTACAAACAGAAATCGTCTCTATTTTATCAATCTTATCTATTTTATCAATCTTATCAATCCTGAGGTTCATCCAGCAGCTATGAAATTGTTCCTTAACATGAACCATTAGGAAAGGGTCAAAACTGTGAGGAAACCAAGTATTTTATCACATAAAATAATCTTTGTGATTCTAAAAACTTTAGTTTGTTCCAACAAAATATATCATACCTTGTGCTTCGAATCTTATTAAACTACTTTAATATCTACCCTTTTGACAGCTTTGACTTTTATCCATGAAAGTTTACGAGAAAGTCATTCATAGGTTGGCTGTCAGTAAACATTAGTTGTGTCATACTATCTTGGAATCACTCACTTTTTTTCTGAGAAATATTATGTATGATGGAAATATTTTATATTCTGGGCTGAAGTCTTTCACTTAAATTTTGCCTCCAGTCATTTGAGAAGAAAATTTCTAATCCTTAAAAATATCTTGTATACAGAGCGAGATAAAATTTAATTCAGAAAATTGTAAGATTATACATTTTGGAAGCAAGAATAATGAAAGCAAATATATGCCAAATGGTAATATTTTAAAAGGAGTAGAATAGCAGTGAGCCCGAGAGGTTAACAACATAAACCTTTAAAGGTCAAAAGGCAGGTGGACAATAAATGGACAACTTGCATTTATATAGCACCCTTTAGGCAGGGTCATGTCTTGAAAAACTGGACAAACAAAGCTAATGAAATCCTAGGCTTTAAAAATAACTCCCACCACTTTCCAAATAGTGCCTTGGAACCTTTGACATCCACCCGAACAGGGAGACAGGACCTCGGGTTAACATATCACCCAAAGGACAGCACCTCCAACAATGCAGTGCTCCCCAGTGGGAGTGCTGGGAGAGAAAAAAAGATGGGCCAGGAGATTTATTCATTCAAAAAAGAATTTAAGAGGAACCACTTCACACAGCGTAGTGAGATTTTGTAACTCAGTGCCTGAAGCAGTGTGGATACATTCAAGAAGAAGATCGAACTTCATAAGAGGGAGATGGGGATACAAGGGTATGGAAGGGAGTAAGGATTGGGTGAAAACTCGTGTGGATTATAAACAACGTCATGGACTGGTTGGGCTGAGTGGCCTGTTTCTGTGCTGTACATTCTTTGTAACTCATTTCCTTCCCCTCAAGGCTACTTCAGGGATGGTGGAGTTGTCCTCCTGGCTACCTTGGCTGCTTTCTAACAATATATCTGTTGGTGGGAGCAACCAGCACCCAGAGCTGGGAGATTTGCTTTGAGATAATTCAGAAGATTTTCATATAGTCAAACTAGGGATAAAATTGTAGGTTAAGTGGCAAGATTTCAATAGCTGGTGGGAAAAGTCTTGATATAAATGCCTGTTCACAATGGCCATAGATAGACGGCCGATCTCTCAGTCTTTCCGCTCCGCATATTTGTCTTTAATTTGCAATTACTCACCTTCTAGGCTTATGGGGTATTAAGTTGCAAATATAAAACATTTTCTGAGTCACCTCCCCCAACCTAAATCAAGATCCCTCCATCCAGTTAGGTGAAGCACGAACAAGTAATGTTGAACTAGATGTATTTAAAATAAAAATCAATTGCTGCAAAGGAACAATATTCTTTATTGAATAAACTAGATTTAATAAGGCCACAAAACATTTTCATACATTTCAACTTCCTGTTAAAACTCTGAACCAATGGCAAATAAATGAACAAGCTGGTGGTAATAGAAGTAATATATATTAAATAAATTGGAAGAGGCCCTCAATTTCACATCCTTAAAATAGAATTGTGTAGAAATTGCCTGAACTTCATTCTCAAATACTGAAACAGGCTCAACGCAGATTTAAAATACAAACCTGCAAAGCAAATGGGCATCTTTATAGACAATGGAATGGACAGGGATGGAAATTGCATTTTTCAAACACAATAAATCAATTTCAGTTACAAAATACATAACTCATACATAACTCGACCACAAAGTTTAAAAATACTGCTGGAATAGTTTCTGTAAGAATGGTTCGGTATCACAAAAGCTACATAACTGGCATCATATAAACAAATATCATCTGGACAGTTCATACCTCAACCCATGTTTGCACCATCTTCTCAGACATATGTGCATCTTGCAATAAATATGAACACAAAAACAATAAAACTGGATGTGTGAAATGCTATCCACACTTAGGAGAACATTTTAAAGAGATAATGGTGATAATTTTGCCATTTAAATCTATTCCTTAATTGATAACTGGAAGTCACATGTCACTCCAACTCAAGGGAATTTAGTATATTCTGTGTAGCGCTTTAAGACGTCTCAAAGACGTGATAAGGAGCTATACAAATGCAAGGATTATTATTATTAGAATTCCACAACATAAACAGATTGAATTGGAGTGGTGTTCACACAATCAGACAATCACAAATTGGTGTCAAAACTTCTGGATTTCTTAACTAAGAAAAGCCATAAAATCAATCCCATTGTAATAATTTGTTGGATCAGAAGTGATTTTGTTTTGAACACTAAGGTTGCTGCAGTTGAAACTTTCTTACCATGCAAAAAATATATTAATGAGATGGCTTTGAACAAAAGTGCTTTCTATGAACTTGAATCTGATGTATATCCTGAAAGTGCAACTTTTAGGACACAGAACATTTCTGATGCAAATGACCCATAACAGCCTTTCAGGTAATGTCAAATAAGTATTTAAGAAACAATTTCACAAGTACACACAGATCAGACCAATGTGTTCTTAAGTCTGGAATTTAACCCATAATGTGAATCCAACACCTTTTCAAAGATCTGTAAATCTGAAATTGCTACAATGACAAGTTCAAATGGGTAGACATTTGTACACATTTTGTAGTAGACTGTTGCTAGGAGAGCTGAGAAGAGATGATACTTCTGACGGTATCTACCAGATTGGCAAATGGAACTGTTTTCAAGCAATTGCCGGTATGAAGTATTGTAGAGAGACATCCTCATGGAGTAGAACAAAGTGCACAAGCTTTTTACTCACGATGTCTATAGAGGAAAACAATGCAAAATTACATGAATGTATTAAAAACAAAGTTACAAAATTTTGTTTTCCCACTCACAAAACAATGCAGTTTATTTTGGTTCTAGTCTTGATGGGATTTCGCTATTCCCACAATTAACCACAAAAATGACTGATGCCTACACCACAGTAACAGGATTGAGATACTGCTCTCCCCGACAAAGCTCTTATGAGACAAATGTTACATCTTAACAAGGAATTACATTGAAGAATTGGAATGACATACAAAATAATACAACTAAAGTCTTTTTAAACACAACAAAATAGGTAAAAAGAACAGCAACTCACTGCATATTGCCTTGCTAGGGTTCACCTGCTGTCCAGCAAGAAACTGCATAAGTCTTTTTATGTCCACCGTGGCTTCAGCCATGTTCTCTGGATCCCTCATCTGGGAAAAGCCGACTGGTGCTTCTTCTTCAACTGGCAGGAATAATGTAATATATCACCATTTGATCATAACATTTATGAAAAGGCCAAATTATAGAAAACACAGGGATTTTTATTTCTATGTTGATTTCTGCCTCTTCTCCTGAATACCTGCAGGGCTGACTTTCCCGTGATACCAAATGCTTCCAGGTACCTCACACCGTGGCTGCTTTTCAGATACAAATCTTGATAAATTTGGATTGCAATAGTGCTCACTGAAAACGCTGCAGCATAAACGAGTCCTCATGATGTAAAGTACGTCTCTTATAGAGAAGAAATTCCACCACTAGATTTGCGTTTCGCACAGAAAACATACAGTCAATTCACTTTAAGTATATTCTGTGGAACACTTTGAGACTCTCACCGATGTGATAAGGCACTATATCAAATCAAGTCGTATTATTAAGTAGCATTTTGGAGTATCCAGAACTCCTAAACATACTTGCAGAAAATCAGCTCAAAATTAAGACTGAACTTAAGAATTTGTCAAATTCTAGGCATTCTAAAATGTTTCTGGCAAAACATAGCTAACGGATGCTTTATGAGAGCTGGCAATGTGCAAAAAAGACTCGATTGGAGAAAAAATGCAGTATCTGGAGCAAAGACAGCTTTAATTGTTTGGTCTCACAAAGTTGATGAAACAATGGAACTGTAAGAAAATTCTGATTAGCCTGTAGGTGATAACTGAGATTTCATGTGTTTTAAATGGGGTAACATAATAAAAAGCTTTGAAGTAGAAATAAGTTTAATGTGTAAGACATGTTTTGAAGTTGTTTGGAATGACTTGTGGGCTAATGAGTAACCACTTCAAAGATAACTTATTTAAAAAGACTCATCTGAAACGAGAAGAAACAGAGAGGGAGTACACATATTCTTGGTTTGCACCATTTGTCAGGTTCTGTGAGATAACCTTTTAATTTTAAGCGTATTGAAAAATTGCTATTTATTAAATTATTCTGTTAATTTAATAAACTACAATCTGTTCTAATTTTATTGGGTGGGTGCAGCTACCTCAGTGAAAATCAATTTGGAGCGAACTAGAGTGACATGTCTGTGATTTAATGAAAATCCTGTTTATTTTTATTGATCAGCTTAATGTTTTTAGCATGGAAAGCCAGACAGTCAGTGCTATAAGCTGGGTATATCATGTTTCTCGTATAGTACAGTGGGCCATAAATGGATCCAAGCTAAACTAGGACAGCTTATAATAACAAGGACACCCCAAATAAAGTGTAAGTAAAATAAGATAGTTTGTATTAATCACTGTGAGAAAAATGGAAACTGAAAAATGTTTAATATGGGAAAGTCAAAATATTCCAAATAAGTATTTTCCTCTAATTTTCTAAGCGCGTTAATTGTATGACTATGTTGTAAGCTTATTGAGAGTGAATTTCAATGCTTTTTGTTTCCGTTATTCTCCAATATTCTCCCTAAACTAGTCAAAGAGAAGAAATGAGCTTGGTGCAAGACCACAGCACGTTTTCAAGGCTTTCAGATGAGGTAGTCACAATCAAATCATGTCTCCAAGTCACAGTCTTTTCCAATTTGCTTATAATTATAATCTTTATATTTAATATACCTTATTATATCGTCAGAATATCTCAAAGCAAATATATATATGTGTTATATAATATAATAATAATTCTTGTATTTGATATAGCGCTGTTCACGTCTTCTGGACGTCTCAAAGCGTTTCACAGAATAGGCTGTAAAGTGAATTGACTATATTTGTCAGCAAAACTCGACAGCCAATTATGCACAGCAGTGTCCCACAATCAGTCGTGGATTGAAAATGACCAATTTATTTATTTATTTATTTATTTACTTTTGCTTGAGGGATTATTATCAGGCGTATGGAGGGAGGAAACTTGCCCAAGATTTTGCCCTGCCCGGAATCAAACCCAGATCTCTCGCTTGCGAGGTGCTTTTCTTTTAATGTGATATACAAAAGACTGCACACGATTTACCTTAGGGTATAGTTACTGTCTATTTGCAGTCATATGTTTTTGGTCAAAATCGAATGACTAATTTTATCTGGAGAATTGTACGCCTGAACATGGGGAAAACTCTCTTCTCTCTTTTAATAGGTACCATGGGTTCCAATCCACCTGAACAGGCAGATGGAAACTTTGTTTAATGACATATCCGAAGAGTGGCACCTCAAACAATGCAGCACTTCCCTAACTATGTATTGGGAGTGTCAGCCCAGACTGAATTCAGGTTCGGGGAGGGAACCTGAAGCCACAATCCATTGACACAGAGGCGAGAGAGCTATCAACTGAGCCATGACATCTTCATGAAGAGAACAATTTTACTTACCCCAAGGAGGATTTCCGAGGTCTTTGAAATGTGTTGTAACAGTCACTAAGTCAGTGTTGATTTTCAAATTCATTTTTCCATTCTGATTGGCTTCAATTACCTGAAGTGTGACAAAGACAAGTCATAAAAATATAATTAAAACATTAACATACATTGGGTTGAGATTACAGATTTTACAACATATAGGTGTGCTCACTGGCTTTTCTTTTAATGTGATATCTGCACATCAGAAGCCATAATTAATACTCTTGGGCTACTGCTAGATGTGATTTTAGCTGGTTAGACTCCAGCAGTACCCCAATGCACACTCTGGAGTCCCAAAGCCTTGACTCTTGCTAGCCTGATTCTAATACTCTCCAGAATTAGATAAGCAAGGTGTGTCCCTCCAGGGAGAGTTGTTTTCCATTACAGACAAGGACATTTTGATGTGAAAGTAGCGTGCATGGAACTCTGTCGCGTTTGGATACTTGTGAGCCCAGTGGTTATTTTCTGCATATGCCAGATACCTGGATGACCAAAACAAAAACATACTAAATCCAGTTTGTAATTTAGATCCCAATGCTATTAAAGTATCACATAAAAGGGAAGAAGGGTGGCCGAAGGCACGGTCGAAGAGGAGGGTCTTGAGACGTGCCTTGAAGGAGGCAAAGGAGGAAGTGAGACAAAGGGAATGTGGGATGGAGTTCCAAAGGGTGGGGGCATTACGATCATTGAGTGGCATCAGAGTTGTGCTTCATCAGACAACATGTAGGCCTCCACAGTCGATTCGCAAACAACATTTTATGAGCTACTAAGTATCAAGTTCTCAATCTCAGTAGGTGGTGTAGAGGAAACTTGAAACAAGGGGAGAGACAATGTGAAACATGGGGGAAGAGGGTTTATCAAACAAACAACTAAGTGACTATGGATTATTCTCTAAGACTGGTTACAGAACGGTTGTGATGGGAGGCCCTAGAGGGCAAAAATATATATTTAGAACAGAAAGAAAGCCAGTCAAGAAATAAACAAGTTGTCCCCACCGTACAATACTTAGATCAGAAGAATACTGTAGCGTGCATGGAAGTGTCAACAATAATAATAATCCTGCATTTGATATAGCACCTTATCACGTCGTTGAGAAGTCTCAAAGCACTTTGCAGAATACCTGCAAAGCAAGTTGACTGTACATTTCAATGAAGTAAAAGTCAATGTCAGGCATAGTTGTTGAACAAACAAGCCACCCTTCTTGGTCCAATGGCAACAGATTGAGTAAACTATGTAGAGGGTACCCACAGGAAGAGATGGCAGTTTCTGTCCAGAAAGAGTTCCCAGGTGCAGGAAGACCTGAGGTTCCTCCAAATGCCATCCATTCTGCAGGGGGGGGCCTCGATTACCCCATTGGGAGATCACTGCTCCAGAGAGCATGGTGCAGGAGGTCCAATTCACCTCCAACCTTCCCAGCATCCATTTGAGGGCAGCAGCCTGGAGCTGCTCCTCCTTGCCGCCCCTTCCAAACGGGAGGCGATCTGCAATGCCGAGCCCCAGATTGGCCTCCTACTGACCTCTGTTGATGTCTCCCCAAGGCAGAGAATTCAGTGGTGGGAGAGCAATTCTGGCACTCCCCCTCCCAAAGCAGCCAGACTCCCTCCTGATTACAGTCCAAAAGCAATACAAAGCATTATGATTCACATTCAGACACACGTACGAGCTGCAATGAGTTACAAAAGCATTTTGGCAGTAACAAAGACCCATATTCTCTTATCACAATGACATTGCTCATGTGCATGCCGACAGATATTCTCTATATCAGTTTGATTCTACTCTAAAACAGAAACAATGTGCAGTACAGCCAGAGCAGTGACATACTGATAAAATACAAATAGTGGCCACGTACAGCACCATATATCAGCTACCAAATATTTTCAAGACCGAATGAAATTTCCTTCATATGGATCTGCATTGTTAGGATAAACTCGAGTTATATTCCCCAGAGCTGAGGAACTCATATGATTTAAATATTGAGGGAAACTGACAAGCTAGATAGGGAACAACTCTCCCCCCTGGTGGAGGGTCTAAAACAAGGATAAATAGTATATGGGGAAAGGGCAGGTAAAAGGATTATCTTTAAAGTAGTCAGCACAGACAATGGGCCAAATAGCTTTCTTCTGTGCTATAAATTTCTATGACTCTAATCTCAAAATTAGAGATAATTCAGTTAGAAGTGAAATCAGAATATTTTCTTTAGTGCTGTGATAATGTTAAATGCACTGTTCTAGAAGGACAAAGATGCAGATCATTTATACTCAATATATTAGTAATATTCAAAAGGGAAATAGACAGATAGTTGGAAAGCAGACTTATACAACAATAACAAGTTGGATTTATATAGCGCCCTCCATGCCGGACGGCGTCTCAGAGGTATTGAAGAATATGGATAAAAGGAGTCGCAATCTCCCGATGAAAGAAAAATTATCATAACGTAACATAACATGTAGGAGCAGGAGTAGGCCATTCGGTCCTTCAAGCTGCCCCGCCATTCAATCATGGCTGATCTTCTAATCTAACTCCAGCTAATAACCTGACTCTGCCTTATCCCCGTATCCCTTAATCCCTTTTGCAATAAGAAATCTATCTATCTCAGGCTTGAATTTGACTAGTCAAACTATTCACAATCTGTGATGCAGTTTCATGGTTGAATATTAATAAAGCATTTATTCTTATAAATCTACTTCTCATTCACTGTTTGCTTCACCTAGAAAGAGTTGCCAAGATTCAAAAACAGCAAACTGGCTACTTTCACTGCAATAGCAGTAATTACTGTGATGCACTTTGAGATATTTTAATGTAATGAGGAGCTATAACAAATACACGATTATCATGATCTAATGAATGGCAGCTCAAGATATATGTTCTCAACTCTTGAGAAAATAGATTTATTTCATTTTCCTTTACATCAGATTGAGTGTACACTTACATACAAAAAAAATAGCACATTCATGGCATTCCGACATTTAGTTTACAACGGAATTACAAACTGCAAATTTCTGCAAAGTTTAAATAATGGTTTTTGAAGATACAAATGAGATACTTGAAAAAACATGCCCAGTTTTACCATATTTTTTACAGCATGTTTTTCGTCTACACAACAAAAAAAACCTACAACACAATTGTCTTCCAGAAGTGACATTCCTCAGGAAGTAGGCCATTAATGGAAGCTGAATAAAAGGCTTAATTGTACGATCGAGCGTATTAAGGTTATAAACTTCACTCACCACTTGGCCAGCAAGATTCTTCATTCTTTCCACCACACTCTTCATGGTCTTGAGTACTGGTAAATATATACTGACCTTCAAAAGCAAGAATATGAAAACTGGTAGTATGAAAGTCAGATATGGAGAAATAAGTAGAGAAATATAACTTTATGTTTCATGTTCCTCGCTCTACCCACCCCACCAATGGCAGGCGGGCTTACGGGATATCTGCCCCCAGTCTCTCGAACGATATTCTGGAGTCCCTTTGACTCACCCCCTCCCTCACATCTTTGAAGGCCGTCTCAAGACCTTCCTCTTTGACCCTCCCCATCCCCCTTGGGTAGCAAGCCATCACTATGAAGCTCCTCATCCTCCTGACATGAAAGTAAATTTACACTGTACTGTTTGTAATTTGCGTTTATATGCCCTTCTGAATACCTCATAATAATAATCCTTGCATTTGACATAGTGTTTTTCACAACTTTGAGACGTCTCATCATCTTGGGTGACCTCAATCTTCAGAACGCTACACTATATTTGCAGTTTTGACAGAAAGGAGTAAATCTTGAAGATCTGCCATTAAAAACTGTGCTTATGTAATCAGCCAGATTAGGCTGGCAAAATCATCAGTCATCTGCAGAGTAAGTGTACACTCACCCCATACAGTGCCAGAAACTCAACAGCAGTATTCAACTTCCCTTTGGCATAGATGGATGCAACCAGAATTTATGGTGTAGATAACACAAATTTATAAAATTATATTCCCCTGATTCTGACAAAACTCACATTAAAGAAACAAAGAAAAAGATCTGAACACAAATACTTACATCAAAATCTGGAACATTGGGTTCTGCAAAATCATTCCAAAGTTTTCTAGGGATGATGACAACTGGGATGTCATGTGTAACTATGCGACTGTGGCTGGAGAGAGATGGCTGAGGAAGAAGGAAACACAGAGTTGCTAACATTTCCAACACGTCTGTCACTAGTCAAACTATTCACAATATGTGATGCAGTTTCATGGTTGAATATTAATAAAGCATTTATTCTTATAAATCTACTTCTCTTCAAATAGAAAATGCAACTTGGCATCACTTTTGTCATTTACAGTACAACTTAACACTTTTAAAGAATGTTAGTATTCTAATAAAATAGCAAATTGTTCTTTTGAAAGTATCGATTCTCAATACCAAACACATTTTCCTTCTCCTTTCCTGTACGAATCTTTCTGCAATATGGTACCAAAGGAAGGGACAAAGCTTTTCTATGTTTGAGCCCAGATAGTAAGTACTTGACTGCAGCACACTGCGCTCAAGATGGATCCTGTCCTCTTCTAAGAACCAAAATCCTACCTGGTCTAAGCCTGAAATATCATTTGATCTTATAATTTCACTTATATATAATAATAATTTAGTTTAAATTTTAATTTAAAGAATGAATTAAGAATTTTCCACTAATCCGCATAATCTTAAATTTTAAGGTAAAATGGTTTTGGAGACTAAGACAAGGTGGTGTGTCAGGCTTCTGAAGTTGTCACATATTTACTTTTGAGCAGCGTTCCCAAGATGGTGATCAGGAATAGGAGCCCTGGTTATTTTTTCCCTCTCAGTAAAATTTTATTATTTTCAAACCATTTCCCAAGCTAAGGTCAACGAACTCAGCTAAATAAGAATTGAACCTGCAACCTTCTGGATTGTATGCTGTAGAGTTTGACTAGGTGCTGTCTATACCACAGGCCATCAAATAACTTTCATTCAATAATGTTTCTCTTTATGTCAGAACATGCCAATTTTAAAACATCTAAACTTCTCATTTTAACTGAATAAAGTGTTAGAGCAGTAAAGTCACTCAGAAATATATGAGTCGCTTCTCAAAAACTTTGTAAGCAGTTCAACGTGTGGGATCCATTCGCCTAAATTAATCATTTTTACATCACAACAGAAAATTTAGTTGGAAAAAAGTAGTTGATGAACTCAGAACAACAAGCATTGCTGTGAAGAACATCATTGAATGGGGAAAATAAACAAAAGCACAGAGTTAAGTAAGGCAGAGGTTAACCTCGGTAACCCTGGAGGAATGCAGGATGGAACAATCCTTCTATTTACAACCATCAGCTGTGTCACGGCAAGGTCAGTGGATGAAAGCTGTCAGTGGCATGTCCAGTGCTGGTGGGATGTTTGCTTACCAGTTCCACAGCGACTGTGAGACACGGGCAGTGCTTCATTGTCAGCTTGATTTTCACGGCTTTGGCATTGTGGGCTGTTTTTAAGGACCTCGAGAGGTTCTCCGGTACTAGTTCCAAATAAATTTCATTGTAATCTGTCGACACTCCTTCAATCTGAAACTCGTCAAAAAAATTACCCTATGGGAACAGAGAGAGAGATTAAGTATCCCCATACATACACAATTATCTCTTAAAATCTATTTCTCGTGAGCAACGACTGTATTTTTGAACAAACTTGCTGCATTGGTAGTCACATTGTTAATAGTGGGTAGGGTTGGAAGATGTTATCATAAGCCTTGGAATGATATTTCACAAAATTACCCTGGTGGTTCCTGGAAGCTGCATAATTTTTTTTCAGGAAACCAACAAGGTAATGGTTAATTTTTCATAATAAATGCATGGATTATGTCACAAAATGCATGCCACAATCACTGGTCTGAGTTTCTCAGCATTTCTCATATTCAACTGTATCATCTCATGCTTGAGCACCATCTATTGGCAGAATGATATTTAACTGAATTTCAACTTTATCATTTTCACCAGTCAACACTGGTTCATGTAATAATAATAAATAATGTTACTGACTTTAAAGACTGGAGCACACAGAAAATGAGGTACAACTGTCTGCCCGATGCCTTGTGCTTGTTGCTTTGTTAATTTTCATGTTTATAAAGCTTAAATCCTCACTAAGTTTAACATCAATAGCTGTGTAATTTCCTGACGTCTTGTTATATTTATCCCTTCCATTATTTTCAAGAAGTGCTGTTTATGAAATTAAATTTTCACCAGTTAAAATTATAATTTACATATAAAGAGCCTTTCTGAGAGGACATCTCAGAACTCTTGACCCCTCTGAATGTAAGCCTGAGCATGGGGGCATGGGGAGAGAGGAGTGAAAGGCAGGCAATCTAAGGGGGCGGGTGAATTGAGAGGTAACCAAAACTGCAGTCAAAAACTGTTTGGAAGTGTGGGGGGGGGGGGGGGCGTTGGCAAAGTGGAAGGGCTCTGAGACAGAGTTCCAGGGATTGCAGCAGAATGTCTGAACACTCACCCACCGTGGGGTGGATCAGGCAGGAGACTTGAAAGAAGCTAATGTTAGCTGAGTGGAAGGAGCAGCCTGGTCACAGGAGGACACAGGTGGCTCCCAGCCATGGAGACATTTGAAAGCGAGGGTGGGGTTCTTGTATTTGATCTACTGGAGAATGTTGTGCCAGTAAAGACAAGTGGGAATGTACTCGCGGAACCCTTTGTAGGAGAAGACACAGACTGCAAAGTTCTGGATGGTCTTTCTCTTGATATTTCTCTTAATACTATTTCTTACTACAACAACTTGCATTTATATAGTGCCCCCTCAGGAAGGGTAGCGTCCCAGAGTGCTTATAATATAGGCCAGTGTTGCACAATTTATACTTTGACAACAGAAGAAATCTGAGAAGTGCAAATGACCTTCCTCACTGAAATTACATATGGAGAAAATAACTCAGAAACATCTAACATGAATACAAAATATAAGATAGAACTGTCGTCCTGTAATTAGTCATCAACACACAGTAAAGTGTCTCTCTCTACATACAGTATACCTCACACAATACATTTTAATTATCATTAACTATTATTTGGGACAGACATAATTTTACAACAACAAGATTACATTTGTATAGCGCCTTTCACGTCGGGAGGACGTCCCAAGGCACTGGACAATGTACAGCATTTCAGACCTGAGCTGGGGTCAGGGGTGGAGAAGGGAGGGGAGGGGAAGGGGGGTGTCTGATGGCATGATCAAAGAAGAGGGTCTTGAGGTGGGACTTGAAGGAGGCTAAGGAGGGGGCGAGGCGGAGTGATTAGGGGATGGAATTCCAGAGGTTGGGGGCAGAGTGGCTGAAGGCTCTTCCACCACTGGTGGGACGGATGGGTCGGGGGACATGGAGCAGGCCAGAGCCGGCAGAGCGGAGGGAGTGGGTGGGTTGGTAGGGGGTTAGGAGGTCACCGAGGTAGGGTGGAGAGAGACCATGGAGGGCTTTGTAGGTGCGGACCAGGATCTAGAACTGGATCCTCTGAAGGATAGGGAGCCAATGGAGTCGGGCGAGAATAGGGGAGATGGGATCACGGAGTTTGGTGCGGGAGAGGACACGGGCTGCAGAGTTCTGGATTATCTGCAGCCTGTGGAGGGAGGAGTTGGGAAGGCCAACAAGCAGGGCATTTGCATAGTCGAGCCTGGAGGTGATGAAGGCATGACCTCCAGTTTACCTGAAATAACTGACACCACATGGCTACTCCCCCACTGGCCACTTTGTCAGAAAGAATAAAGTAAAGCTTGTCAGCAGTCAGCCGTAAAATACAGGATTTTGCCAGCTTGGAGATGGTGTTCACAACACCTGAAAATATAAATAAGATCAATGAATTAATACATGATAATCTGCCATAACAGTTGACCCCTCCCACTTCATGCTGTTAAAAGGATTTAGAGGTTTGTATTAAGAAATAAACATATCACATGACTTACAGATTGTTTGTGCTATGAAGTCTTTATAAAGCCTACAATAAATAAGTTTCATTCGCATAATCAATGTCCTTAGGTCTGTGGAGGATAGACCATCCTGGTAATGCATTAACACAGGAATGGTTAGTCAGAACAACTTGCATTAATATAGTGCTCTTCATGTATGGTAACATCTCAAAGCTCTGTACATAAATAGGGTCAGATACTGAGCAAGGCAGGGAAGAGAAGGGAGCGGCCATAGATAGGGTCAAAGAGCTATGTGTCAAAGCAGGACTTAATGACAGACCATCCTAGTAACAATCTCTCTCTGAAATTTCCATGTGTAGGTGGGATGCATGGAATTCTCAGCTTGGTTTAGATACTCTTAAACATGGTGATGGATTTCGCAGACTGTGAGAAAAATGTTTATCTGTTTTATTGTTTATCTAATTGGCTACTGCATTTGCCAAAATACATTGCCATTACACTTTATAATGAATCCTGTGAGCACTTTGAGACATCCTCCTGACATGCAATTTCCTGTGATTTTGTTGTCAGCCCAGGGTAGCCTGCGATTGTTTCAACCAAAGTGACAATAATCCTAAAATTTATCCCAAAGCACTTCATAGTATATATGATACAGTACAGTGACTGTGTGTTTGGCAGGCAAACACGGCAGCCAATTTGCGCACAACCCCCATGAACAGCCAGTGTGACCAATTTTCTTTAGGAGATTGTTGGTCAGCACACTGGGAGAAACTCTCTTCTCTTTTTGTACAGTGCCATGGGATCTTTAACGTGCAACGAAAACAGGCAGACGGGACCTTGGTTTAACGTCTCATTCGAAGGTCGGCATCTCCAACAATGCAACACACCCCCAGCACTGCATTGGAGTGTCATCTTAGATGATATCTGTTCCATGTCCCGACTTGGAACTTGAACCCACAACCTTCTGACTTGCGAGGCGAGAGTGTTACCCGCTGAGCCTGGCTGACGTAGCGCTCTGAGATGCGACTCTGCGTGAAGGTGTTATATAAATGCAAGTTATTGTTATAACAATAATTTGCTGTTGTAAGTGCAAGTTGTTGTTCAGCAAACACTGTGGAATACAGAAGCAAACCCGGGCACAGCTGAAATCTGTAGTGTTTGAGAAAGGGAGGATCCTGAGAGGAAGGGCATTGGATCAAGAATATAGTAATAATCTTGTATTTGATATAGTGTCTTATCACATCTCCAAGATGTCTGAAAGAGCTTCACAGAATATACGCGGGTGGGGGTTGGGGATGGCAGGTGGAGTAGGGGGTGGCGAGGTGTCAGGTGGGACAGGGAAGGCAGGATGGCCAGGAGGGGCGAGGAGGGCAGGGGGTTGCAGGGAGGGGCGAGGAGGGCAGGGGGTTGCAGGGAGGGGCGAGGAGGGCAGGGGGTTGCAGGGAGGGGCGAGGAGGGCAGGGGGTTGCAGGGAGGGCGAGGAGGGCAGGGGGTTGCAGGGAGGGCGAGGAGGGCAGGGGGTTGCAGGGAGGGGCGAGGAGGGCAGGGGGTTGCAGGGAGGGGCGAGGAGGGCAGTGGGTTGCAGGGAGGGGCGAGGAGGGGGGGGAGGGGCGAGGAGGGCAACAACAACAACAACAAGGTTACATTTGTATAGCCCCTTTCTCGTCGGGAGGACGTCCCGAGGCGCTGGACAGAGTACAGCATCTCAGACCCGAGCTGGGGTCAGGGAGAGGGGAGGGGGGGGGATGGCCGATGGTATGGTCGAAGAGGAGGGTTTTGAAGGAGGCTGAGGAGGGGGTCGGGGGTGACGGTGGGGTGTGAGGAGAGGCCGCGGTGGGGGTGGGGTGGGGGGGTGGGCAGCGCCAGGTGGGGCAGAGCCGGGGGGGCCGGGGCCAGGGTTACCGCTGGACAGGGCTGGGCCCGCGCGGGGAGGGGGGTGGGAGAGGCTCCGCTGACTCACGGCTCAGGTGGTTCAGACACGCCACGTCCACCAGTTTGGCTCTGAACTTCATGGCGCCGCCGAGCGAGCAGCGCGGTCCAGGCCCCGCGCCGCGCGTCACTTCCGGATCCGACAGGACGCGGTTTCCAAGGCAACGACGCAGCGGCGATTGCGTCTGACTGCCTGACGCCTTGATACTAAACGCTTGAAGGTCCCGGTGTGGCCATGGAGCAGAGTGGCGCAGCGGAAGCGTGCTGGGCCCATAACCCAGAGGTCGATGGATCGAAACCATCCTCTGCTATAGTTCAGCGGCGACTTTTTTTTTTTTTTTTTTTTGGCCATATTTTTTGATATTGACATTATTGAGAAGCCGTTTGAGAGGCGATCACCGTTCCCGTCGCTGACGGTTTTGTGCGTGATTCCCCGCACTCGGCGTTCAGCAGTCCTTCCGTTGCCGTGCGCGGAGGCTGATCCGGCGTCTCCCAGACGTCTCGGAGCGATCCGCGGACCGCGCTGCGGAGGGGATTGGCCGCGTGGTTCGTGGGCGAAAGATACCGCCCGTGCGAAACCCGCCTGAAGGTCCCGTCGCGAGCGTTGGGGCAGAGTGGCGCAGCGGGAGCGTGCGGGGCCCATAAACCCAGAGGTCGATGGATCGGAAGCCATCCTCTGCTGGTGACTGCGAGGCTCTCGCTCGCTCGCTCGCTCACGGGCTCGGGTTTTCCTGCCGGGTGTCTGTGGTTTGTTTTTTTTGCTCAGCCGGGTGTCTGACCCACGCGGAATTTGCATCGCGGCCGCCTTGCAGTGCAAAGAACGCGCTGGAGGCATCGCTTTGTGGCGCAGTGTGTGTATATTCTCATCAGCGGAGATCCATTCAGAGAGGGAACTTGGACGGCACGGAGAAAGGACCGGCGCGGAGGCCAGCGAGTACACCGAGCGCTTTGTCGTAACACGGGTATACAATCAGCGGTGAGGACCATCGCAACTCCAACCGGCTAAAGCCGCAGCTCGCCGTCCAGCGCGCGGTCTGGCCAGCTTTCCCGCTGCTGGTCCGGCTGGGACCAGTTTATCAGCTAAGCTTTGGCTTGCTGGGTTGACAGGAGCTGAGTGGTGTGTTATCCCGGCCCCACTGACTGGTCTGCCCTTCCAGGTCCTGCCGATAAGCCAGGCTGGCTGCGGGGTCACCATCCGTGCCTGGATACTGAGGACCCGCCTGGCTCAGCAACCCACTGACCGAGACCGCCACAGAGGGAGGGCTGGCTCCATTCTGATATTCCTTCTCTTTGACCGAGCCTTCAGCTCCCCTCTCGACTCTCTACCCCCCTCCTCGCTCCCTCCCTTCCCTCCCCTCACCCTGACCATTTCCCCCCAATGCTCGGGTCCTGACCCAACTGTACAGCGCCTTGGGACGTCCTCCCGACATGAAAGGCGCTCAATAAATGGAATCTTGTTGTTGTTGTTGTTGCCAAGCACGTCACCTTGGAGCCAGTTCAGCTCCAAGGAGATCCCGCCTACCTCCCCCCAAGGAGGATAGTCACTAGTCGGTGTTTGGACATCGAGAAGCGCGGGTTTGAACCCTCACGAGATGGATGGTAGGTACCAGGTAGCAGCTTCCCAGTGGGCAACCCGTCTCAGCATGAAATGCGTGAGAGCATTGCCACCATTTTCCTGTCTGGAGCTCGGCGACACACCCTTTCCCATTGAGCGATGGTGCCATCAACCGGAGGCGCTCAGTTCGAGCAGCAGCTGCTCACCTTTCTGCAAACCAATCAACGTGGGGTCCGGGCATCGGGTGTACGAATGTCTGTTCACGAACTGGACCTCCAGGTAACGCCTTCCAGCAGCCGTCACCCCAGGGCTCAGCGTTTCCTTATCAACCGTCTACCCCACATCTGCCTTCATTGTTTGGGGGAATTTGGAAGTCACATTGTAGTCCTACAGCAGAGTGGCGCAGCGGAAGCGTGCTGGGCCCATAACCCAGAGGTCGATGGATCGAAACCATCCTCTGCTAGCGACTGGGAGGCTCTCAGTCAGGAGCTCAGCTTTTCCTTATACTCATTTATTCTATTGAGCAATTTATCATTGATTGATTGGAAATTCACACTGACCCATCCAATGCTGCTTGCAAGAGGGGCTTCACTGCCTGCTTTTTGGATGTTCTTTGCAAACTGAGCAGGCGGCAGACAGGAGAATGCTGGAACCGTAACCCACGGGTTAATGAATATGACGTGTTCAGCTCAGGATGTGGCAGAGCTTTCAGGGTTTGCCTTACACAATTCAGAATTGATCTTGTGACGTGTGGTGTAGGGTGACCCTGAGCCAAACAACGGTGATTTTATCAGTGAGCAGTCATGGAGCAGAGTGGCGCAGCGGAAGCGTGCTGGGCCCATAACCCAGAGGTCGATGGATCGAAACCATCTTCTGCTAGAAAGATTATTTTTGGATTCAGCCGGATGTCTGACATATACAGAAATCCATCACGGTGCTTAAGAGTATCCAAACCAAACTGAGGATTCCATGCACTCATCCCACTTACACATGGAAATCCCAGAGGGAGATTGTTGGAATGCAATGTGCACTCTCTCCCTGGAGGGACACATCCTGCTTACCCAATTCCAGAAAGTATTAGGCACAGGTTGGCGAGAGCCAAGGCTTGGGGGTCCCAGAGTCTATGTTGGGGTACTGCTGGAGTCTAACCAGCTAAAACCGCATAGCTGGTCATTGATATTGCTGTGTTGCAAGCTTTACCGCTACTTGTCCAGCTAGGCCCACCCTAGCCGTTGGGGCTTTGGCTTGCAGGGTTAGCAGGAGCTAAGTGGGATGATTCCCCGCTCCAGTGACTGATCTGCCCCTTAAATCCTGCCGCTAAGCCAGGCTGGCTGTGCAATTTTCAGCAGTGCCCTGGAATACTGCGGGCCTGCCTGGCACAGGAACCAGACTACCGAGACCCCCACAGAGGGTTGGCTCGATTTACGTGCTAGTGCTTGCGTGTTCTTACTTAGGAATTCAGCTCCAAGGAGATCCCGCCTACCTCCCCCCAAGGAGGATAGTCACTAGTCAGTGTTTTGACATCCGAGAAGCGCGGGTTTGAACCCTCACTAGATGGATGGTAGGTACCAGGTACCAGCTTCCCAGTGGGCAACCCGTCTCAGCATGAAATGCGTGAGAGCATTGCCACCATTTTCCTGTCTGGAGCTCGGCTACACACCCTTTCCCATTGAGCGATGGTGCCATCAATCGGAGGCGCTCAGTTCAAGCAGCAGCTGCTCACCTTTCTGCAAACCAATCAACGTGGGGTCCAGGCATCGGGTGTACGAATGTCTGTTCACGAACTGGACCTCCAGGTAATGCCTTCCAGCAGCCGTCACCCCAGGGCTCAGCGTTTCCTTATCAACCGTCTACCCCACATCTGCCTTCATTGTTTGGGGGAATTTGGAAGTCTCATTGCAGTCCTATAGCAGAGTGGCGCAGCGGAAGCGTGCTGGGCCCATAACCCAGAGGTCGATGGATCGAAACCATCCTCTGCTAGCGACTGGGAGGCTCTCAGTCAGGAATTGGTTCTATTTCTTTAATTGAGCAACTCAAGATTGTGATGGATTGGAAATTCACACTGGGCCATCCAGTGCTGCTGCAACTGGGACTTTCGTGCTTGTTATTTTGATCTTCTTAGTGAGCTTGGAAGACAGGAGTGGGCCAGGTCCATATCTTGTAAGTTGATGAAAAATGCATGCTCCTCTTAGGGTGAGCTGCTTATGATAGCATGCAGGATCTGCCTTTCTTTCATAATTCCTCAAATAAACTACAAATGACTGTGTGAGCTGAAGGTAATTCAGAATTGATCTTATGATGCATGATGCTGGGTGACAGTGAGACATTGGGCTTTACACAATAACCAATCAGGTACAAAAATATGTCCTTGGTCCTCTCCTGTTCAATATCTTTATACTCCATCTTGATGACAACACCAGCAGAGATGGGGTCAAATTCTACATGTATGTGGATGACACCCAACTCTACCTCCCTGCCTCCATCCTATAAGCAATCCCAGAATTCTGGACTTATTTACTTCATAAATGCTGACTATATGGCACAAATGGATGAAAGCCAGGGACAAATGGAAGAATAAAGAACAAAGATTTTCTTCACCATGGAAGATAAATTTTGTCCTTGGTTTGCAGCTGGTGTTTCTAATAATACATTGAACAGACTGGAGTACATGACCAAAAGGTATAAAGAACCAGGGATTTGGGGATTAAATCAGAAGAGCTGAATTTTGGGAATGGAGTAGCTAATGCAAACAAACTCGAGGAAAGATGGATATACTACAGTCTACAAGGGTCAATGCAACAAGTTACAACAACAACAACAAAACTACATTTGTATAGCGCTTTTCATGTTGGGAGGACAACAACAACAACAACAAGATTCCATTTATGGAGCGCCTTTCACGTCGGGAGGATGTCCCAAGGCGCTGTACAGTTGGGTCAGGACCCAAGCAGGGGGGAAATGGTCAGGGTGAGGGGAGGGAAGGGAGAGAGTGAGGAGGGGGTAGAGAGTCGAGAGGGGAGCTGAAGGCACGGTCAAAGAGAAAGGTCTTGAGATCGGCCTTGAAGGAGGAAAGGGAGGAGGCGGCGAAGGCACTGGGGGATAGAGTTCCAGAGCCTTGAGGCTGAGAGGCTGAAGGCCCGGCCACCGATGGTAGGGCGGTTGGGGCGGGGGATGTGGAGCAGACCGGAGCCGGAGGAACGGAGGGTACGGGAGGTAAGTAGGGGGATAGTAGGTCGGAGAGGTAGGAGGGAGCAAGGCCGTGAATAGCCTTATAGGTGAGGATGAGGATCTTGAATTCGATCCTCTGGGGGATGGGGAGCCAGTGGAGGCGAGCGAGGGTGGGAGTGATGTGGTCCCGAAGCCTGGTGCGGGACAGTACACGAGCTGCAGAGTTCTGAATGACCTGCAGCTTGTGGAGGGAGGTGCCGGGAAGGCCGGCGAGGAGAGAGTTCCCATAGTCCAGCCTTGAGGTGATAAAAGCGTGGACCAGAGTTTCAGCAGCGTGAGGGGTGAGGTAGTGCCATAGTCTGGTGATGTTCGACCCAGAGCTGTCCTTTCTCCCTCATATCCGCGCCA